CCCTCTCAGAGTGATTACAGACCTTCCCATTTTACTCATTTCAGGAAGCCTGGGGGCCACAAGGCTCTGAATCACTGTCTTGTAAGGGCACTGTGTTACGTTGAACTTCATTCAGTGTGCTCTCGGAATGTACAGAGCTGGGTCCTGCCTACCAAAGAGTCTTGCAATCTGATAGAATTCTATCTGATAGATTCTGATTATAGGCAGCCTGGTAATTCTGGAACAGGTGGTAGGAGTTCATACTTTTTAAAATAAAAAATAACAGTTTTATTGGGACATATTGCACATACCACACAGTTCACCCACTTAAAGTATACAATTTGATGTTTTCTGGTGTAACCACTATTTTTAGTGTTTATAGCACTCCTAAAAAGAAACGCTGAACCCGTTAGCAGCTATTTCCATCTCCTCCAACTTCCTTCCACCCCTACCCCAGCTCTAAGGCAGCCACGAATCTACTTTCTGTCTATATAGATTTACTTTGTATGGATTAGTACGTATGTGGGTTTTTGTGGCTGGTTTCTTTCTCTTAGCATAATGATTTCAAAGCTCATTCATGTTGTAGCACCAACCAATACCTCATTCCTTTTTATGACTGAATAATATTCCATTGTATAGATACATGCTTTGTTTATGCGTTTATTATCAACTGATGGACATTTGGGTTGTGCCTACCTTCTGGTCGTTGATTAGTGCTTCTATAAACATTCGTGTACAATGTTTTATATGGACAGATGTTTTCAATTCTCTTGGGTATATACAGTAAGACCTTGGATTGCGAGTAACTTGTTCCGCCAGTGTTCTGGAAGACGAGCAAGCATTTCTAATCAATTTCAACTTGATAAACAAGCCATGTCTTGCAATATGAGTAGTATGTGATGCCCAGTGTCACATGATCACAACTGAGCCAATGGTTCTTGAAATTCGCTTTGATATACAAGTGTTTTGGATTACAAGCATGTTTCCGGAACAAATTATGCTTGCAAACCAAGGTTTTAGTTTACGTAGGAGTGGAATTGCTGACTCATAGGTTCACTCTGTTTGATCTTTTATGTATGAGGGTTTTAATTTCTCTATTAGAGAGAATACTCCATCCTCATTAATAATAATTATACTATGTGTTTTTTATTTTAGCCATTCTAAGGGGTATATAGTGGAATTTCATAAAAAAATTTTTCTAAAGATTTTTATTTTTTTATTAAAATTTTTTTAAAATCTTTATTCTTTCTTTAAAAACATTTATTTATTATTGAGAAACAGAGAGAGACAGAGCATGAGCATGGGAGGAGCAGAGAGAGGGGGAGACCCAGAATCCGAAGCAGCGCCAGGCTCCAAGCTGTCAGCACAGAACCCGATGTGGGACTTGAACTCACAAGCGGTGAGATCATGACCTGAGCCGAAGTCAGACGCTCAACCAACTGAGTCACCCAAGTGCCCCAAGATTTTATTTTTTTAAGTAATCTCTCTCCCCAACTTGGGGCTTGAACTCATGACCCTGAGATCAAGAGTTGTGTGCTTCACTGGCTGAGCCAGCCAGGTGCCCCTTAAAATATTTTTAATTTTTATTTTTTTAATTAGGCTCTACACCCAACATGGGGCTTGGACTCACGACCTGAGAGATCAAGAGTTGCATGCTTCATGGACTGAGGTACCCAGGCACCCCTCATTGTTTTTTTGGTTCCATTTCTATGGTGGTTATTAACGTTGTTGAGTAGCTTTTCATGTACTTATTGGCCATTTGTATATCTTTTTTGGGGAAATGTCAATTTAGATTTTTTTGCTCATTTTTATTTTACTTAAAAGTTTATTTTGAGAGAGAGAGAGAAAGAGAGTGCACATGTGCACTTGAGCAGGGAAGGGTCAGAGAGAGAGAGAGAGAGACAGCAAATCCCAAAACAGGCTCTACATGGACAGTGCAGAGCCCCACTAGGGGCTCGATCTCACAAACCACGAGATCATGACCTGAGCTGAAACCGACAGTCAGACACTTAATCAACTGAGCCACCCAAGAGCCCCTTGCCCATTTTTAAATTGCGTTATTTGCTTTTTTTAAATTATTGAGTTGTAGGAATTCTTTATATATTCTAGATAAATCACTTATCAGACAAATGATTTGCAACGATTTCCTCTCATTTTTTGGGTTATCTTTTTACTTTTTTGATGACGCTTGAGGCATACAAGTTTGAAGTTCTGATGATGTTTAATTTGTTTTTTTGTTGCTTGTGGCTCACATTTTGAGAAACATTACTAAAATGCAACTTGAAACTCGGGAAGCTTTGTGACCTTGAAGCCTGGCTGGGCTTTTTAGGTCACCTTGGTGGGGATTCCTCCCCCACCCCCCCAGCCAGCCCTGGTTCTTCCCCTGGGCTGGAGGCACAGAGCCTCAGGGGACCTTCTCCGTGTTTACATCCCCTCCCTCTCCTGAGGTCTACCACAATAGAGCAGCTGAAATGACAGTTTGGAAATGTCCTTTATTGTGAAAACTCAATGGTCTTTGTTTCTGGGATTTGAAATTTTGATGCAGATGTTGGCAGCCAGAGTTAGGAAGGAGGGGGGAAGGGCCTGGAGAAGGAACCCATCCACTAATCTCCATAGTGAGTCATTCCAATCCTCTGTGCTGCCTTGGTTTTCTCACCCATAAAATGGGGGAGAACAGCTCTATCTCCCCCTCTCGGTGGGGGTAATGTGATGATGAATTAATCTGTATTTGTTAGAACACTTTGAGATCTTGGATTAAAGGCATTAGTGAAGCACAAGGTATTATTATAATAATAAATGATTTAATAGCAGGGATGGTGCAGCTACTAAAGCAAGAATCGAAGGGGCAGGGAGTAGAGAGGCTCTAATAAGTGGAGTCTGGGCCCAGACACAGGTCTATATCCTTAGAGGTGAGATTGTATGATTTCTCACAAACTGGGTTATTTCATCTGAATTCAGCATTGCTTTACAGAGTACTTCCTATATGACTTCTGCCATGAGGAAAGATTAGTCTTTTTAGGAAATAAGTTATGTACATTAAAACATCTAGAGGCAATGCAAGGCATTATAATGAAGTTCTGAATTGAATATACAAAAAGAAGGCTGAAAAGATGCTGAAGATCAGCTTTCCCCAGTTCTTTCACACACTAGCTGTAGGAGCTTGCCTCAGCTTCTGTGATTGCAACTGTTGGTATAAAGGGCTTAGAAAAATGGTCAGCACATAGTAAGCACTCAAATGTTGGACCTATCTGGTTTCTTGTCAGACTCTGCTTTTGCTGGTTACGTAATCTTGGTCAAATTGCTGGATACCTCTGGTCCTCAGTTATCTTGTCTGTAAACTGGGGCCAAAGATACTCACTAGCTCACAAGGTAACTGAGGATGGAGGGAGGCAATGTAAACCGTACAGCACCGCTCCCTACAAATGGTAAGCACCCACTAAATGAGTCATTATTACTGTTATTGACACTATTCCCTGAGCTGGCTAAGGAGCGAGGCGTGCACTCAGTAATGGTTTAGCTAAATCTAGGGCCTTCTTTGGACCCTGGAATTTGAGGGGGGGGCAGAACAGGATTGGTGGGATTCAGGTGATCAGAGAAGAAAGGATGAAAGGAAGGCGGAAGCCTGAGGAAGGACTGCCCCCTGGAAGACAGGGCTGGACTTGGGCTTCTCACGGGAGCCTGGCTGGCTGTATCTGGTAGTTAAAGCCGCGGTGGCTGTTTACCCCCAAACCACTTCCGCAATCTCGGCTTTCACCTTCCCAGTCCGCGAATGCAGGGTTCTGCGAGCCTGGAGCAGACCCTCCCTCCCTGAGGCCTGTGGGTCCCGCTTCCGGGGCCGCTCAGGCCCAGCGCTTACCTCTTTCCCGGCAGTCTGGAGCCAGGAACCCCGCAGTCTACACCCCACCCTCCTCCAGGATCCTGTTTCAAAGTCACCTGAAAGCCATTTCCTTCCGCGCCCGCCGTCTCCTCTCCCCTCCCTTCCCTGTAAATCACCTGGAGTTTGGATTTGCCCGAAGCTTTTTTTTAGCTTGTTTTCTTTTTAACGACAACTGTATTTGCCGTTTACTATACACACTTGTGTACACAGAACTTAGTGATTCTGTGTCAGTGTCCCATTCCTCCTCCGTAGAAACTGGTGATAATGCCTAACCAGTGGGACCTCTTCTCGGGTCCCACCCTGGGCTTCTCTCCTGCCTTGTGCTGGGACAGCATCTTCTATCTTTATTGATGAATTATTTTGCATTTGAAATTTTACGATCTGGCTCAAAATCTAGCCTGTCCTTATTGTGAGTCCCCCGGGCCGCAGGTGTGTGCATTTCCATGCCCATATGATTACATAAAGACATAGAAACAGAAGGAGACAGGTTCTCTTGTCTTCGTTTTACAAAAACGTGGCTCTCTATTACACAGGTTTCTGCATTTGGTGGACTCCCGCCAAATTATCAGTTTCTTCATCTCCTCAGCTTCTCAGAGGCTTGGATTTACATTTGTAAAGGGTCACCGGGACAGAGTTGCGGCGAGGCATTCCTGACATGCCTTTCTGACTCAGAAAAGCCGAGGCGACCTGTTCCGGTGGGATCCAGACACCCCCCCCCCCCCCCCCCCCCCCCCCCCCCCCCCCCCCCCCCCCGCCAAAGCCGATCCCAACTAATGTCTTACTAGAAAGACCCCTTTCCTGTCCGCACAATAAGGGATGTTTGGCTGTGACACCGGGGTGACCCCCACCACGTGCGTCCCTGCATCTACCAGCGGCCAGGGAGCCGCTCGCGTGGGGGCGGCACGGTCACCGTCCCGGCGGCGCGCTCGCCCCACCTGCGGGGTTAATCATTGGCGGCGCACGATCCCCTTTAGCCCCGGCTCCAGCTCGCCGCGTCGCGAAGTTCCCCCGGGTCCCCGCGGAGCCGCCAATTGCTGGATTCCAGCGGCGGGCCCGAGTCTCCACCCACTGGAAAAATTCCTGGCCCGCTCCTCCCTCTCGCCTCCCTCCCGCCGCAGCTCCGGCTGCGCTCGCCCGGCCCCGACTTCCTGCGGGGCGCTGGGAAGGCGCGCGCGGGCTGGGGTCCCCGGCGGCCGCGCCTGCAGCTGGCCGCCGCCCGCGCCGCCAGGGGGCTGGGCAGTGGGCGGGAGCGCCGGCGGCCTCAGCCACTGCCGCGAGCGACTTTCAAACTCGCGCCCGCACCTGGGCAGCCTCTCGCGCCGAGCGCGCCGGACCCAGCGGGGCGGCGACCGTGCGGTGAGTGGCCCTCGCTTCTCCCCTCTCCCTCCGCCAGTGGCAGCGCCCAGAGCCCCTCCGAGACCCTCCCCCCTCCGAAACCGCCCTCCTCGCGGGCCCTAGCCCCAGCCCCGCGCGGGGTGAGGACTCGGGGCGGCTGAGGAGGGCTCCGGGCCGCGTTGGCGCCTTCCAAGGCGACCTCCCGGCAGAGGACCCGAGCGCGGGAGGCTGGTGCACGGAGAACTTTTCTGTCCTGTAGCCCCCACCCCGGAAACAAAGAAGCGAGCGCTCCAGGTGGCCCCGGGAGGCTCCCCTTGAAAGTCGGGAAGTCAGCGAGGCTGCGTCCACCCGCTCCCCTTGCGCGCTCGGTAGCCCGAGGGCTGGACCCTGCCTCGGACTGTGGGCCCCGGGCCGGGTGGACCCTTCTGGGGAACGACCCCAACCCCTGGTCTTGGGAGCCCCAGTGGCGCCAGCAGCCTGTTCCGGGTTGGTGCCACACAGTGCTCGCTCTTGGGAATCTCTTCTTCTGGAACTGGAGGGATGAGAAGAGGTGCCAGAAATGGGGTGTCGGGAGCCGAAGGCCCCTGCCTGCTGCTGTCTACCTCGACCTCGCGCACTCCTGAAAGCTGTTTGGTTAATTTTCTCTATTCTCAGCCTTTTGGTTTAGAAAGCTAGGATAAGACGTGCAAACTTGGAATTTCAGGGCAATTTTTAGGTAGCTGCTTTTACTCCTTGGAGCTGCTTTTGAAAACAAAAGGAAGAACGGAGTGGATAATGTAATGGTAGGAGGCTGGAGAGGTGTGGCCCGGGGATGGGGGATGGGGAGGCAGTCTTCGTGGCCGCGGCCAGGGTTTCATCCTTGAGGCCACTTGCTAAGCTGTTGGCTGGTGAAGGAGGCGGTCTTCTGCTCCGGAGCCCCTGGGGAGGCGACTCAGACTGCATCTCCTTCATGGAACCCTAGACTGGGGGTTTCCGGAGTCTCCCCAGCCCTGCCTCTCCATGCAGCCCAATCACATCGACCTTGCTTAAGAAATAATAAGTAGGGAGAGTAATGACAGCCTAGGAGGACTTCCCCTTTGAGCACATCGCCTGCTTCCTTTTAGGAAAGTGCCTTTCTAGCACCTTCCTTGCCGCACTGAGAGTGGAATCCCGATTCACTTAAGCTGGGAATGACTTCATTCCAACCATCCCCAGCAGAGAACCTAGAGAGTAAGGACCAAAGGAAGATGTATCCCTTCTGTCGATTATTCATCCCTTCCCGTGATCCTGGGGTGCCTCATCTCTTCCTTCTAAGCCTGCTGTTCATACTCCTGCTGCTTCTGCTGAGCCTATTCCCTTCCCTGAGGGCTAGGCAACCCCTTGGCTCCCTGGGTATCCTGCTCTGGGTAAACCAAGTCCTAGAAGCAGAGGAAGTGCTTTAAAAGCTGGTTTGCGGGTGGTTTTCTACTGCCTTTTGTTAGACGTGGCCTGTTAAGGAGAGTGGAAGGAGTCCTGGCCTTGGAGTCCACTTGATCTTGGCCAAAAGGCCGAGAAGCGGTGGCCTTGGGGTCCAGCACAGGATTTTGCTTGAGTTTTAATCCTGCCTACTGCATAGCATCAAAGACTGGTAGCGGCGCTTGAGTGGAAGGCACCTCTGAAGAGCCTACTCTATGTACACATGAAGACAGCAGAGCCCCGAGATGTGAGGTGGTTTGAGCCTTCTTCCTTTTGGCCAAATAGGGACTAGAACTCAAATTTCCTTCTCTGGCTAATCCATGCTTTCTCCAGCATGACCTGGGCGAGTCACACATCTTTCAGACTCATTTCTACCAGAGTAAAGTGGGGTACTTGCCTGCTTTTCCTTATAGAGGCTGTGGTAAGGATCACATGAAGCCCGAGTCGTGGAAAGTGCCCCGTAAGCTCCTGTACAAAAGAAAGAGCTCCCTGTGACTAGGAGGAGCTCTCAAGAGCTTTACAGTTTGCTGGGTATGTCCCATATGTGCCACAGGGAGACGGCAGATACCAGGATCCTCTGGTGGAAGTTTACACCCGTGGCCTGTGATGTCAGCTCCAGGGTAAACATTTGGCTTACCAAATCCACAGCTAACCCAGGGTCACTGTGTTTACACAGGAGGAGGCCAAAGGCCATGTCCTGAGTGATGACCAGGGCTGGAGGGGAACAGGGCCTGTGTTCCAGACTTGTGGCTGGCCCCTTCACCTCCACCCCCTCCCAGAACTTTGTGGAGGCTCTGGCTCCAAGCCTGGAGGGGGTGCCCCAGGCCCAGGCTGGGGTGCTGACTTTGGAGGGTTAAGTGTGGAGCCATCTAGCTGTTCTCTGTTGTGTTGGCGGTGGAGGGGACTCTGGGCTTTGGGAGGTCGTTGCCTTTGCAGCTGCACGGAGGGCCCTCTTCAGCTCCTCATTTGCCTCCCTCCCCCCACCCCAGGCTGCCCTTCTGGCCCAGGCCTCTGCTCTGTGCCGCCTCTCTGGCCAGCTGCATGTCCATAGGCCTTTGTTCCAGGCCTGCCTGCCTGCCCTCCCCGGCAGAAGCCCTCAGGCTGGGGCCTTGGCAGCTGGAAATCACTACTGCCAGCAGGAAGGCCCTTCGGTCCCCAGGGGACCTGGCAGACCTTCAGTTCCTCTTGTTGGGCTCCTCTCACAGCCCCTAACTTGCTCTCTCCTCACCTCGCCTTCTTCCCCTGAATGGATGGATCATCCTTTTTCTTCTTGCAGTTATGCTTCTTAGTTGTATTTTAAAGTATTCGTTCAACATTTATTTGGCACCTACTGTATATGAATATAGATGCAGGGGACACAGCAGTGAACAAAGTATACAAAAATCCTTGACCTCATGGAACTGACTTCCTGTGGGGGAAGCCGACAGTAAGCAAGGTAGAAAGCGAATAGAAAGCATGTCAGCGATAAGCAGAAACATGTGATAGGGAAGGTTGGATGCGCATTGCCTTGGAAGGGGTGAGATGGCGTGTTTAGATGAGGTGGCCTGGCAAGGCTCCTGAACGAGGGGTATTTGAGATAATGCCGGAGGGAAGCATTTCCCTTCATCTCTTATCTCCTTTGCCTGAAACCCAGCCGAAGCAACCCACTGTGGAATCGCAGGGCAGGGTTTGGAATTGGATGCATCTGGGTTCGGATCCCAGCTTTCCAGCTGGCCAGCCCTGCGGTGCTAACCCCTGAGGCTGGGTTTCTCACCCGTAAAATGGAGTTAGTCATACCACGTACCGTATTGTGTGACTACGTGTGACTACGAACAATGAGAACCAACGCTAAGTGCTTCGCAAAGCCTACAGAGGTGTTCAATAAATGGTAATCTTATTTGTCGGTGTCCAAACAAATTGTGCAGGGGTAGCCCAAGATATTTAATGCCATCGCTAAGGGCTCTGGAGGAAAGGCTTTACATTTCAAGTGTTAGGCAGGAGAGGGGAGTTGGAGGGGGGTAACAACAGAAACCTTGGTTAGTGCAGGCTTTCTAGTTGTGAGACTTTTCTCCCCTAGCCTAGGTTTCCAGTGGTTGGGTGGAGGATGCAGGACTCCCAGGTGTGTGCCGCTTTCCCAGGTGACAGGGTGAGCTGGGGGCAGCCCTGGCCCTCCCTTGCTCTGGAATTCCCTTTTAAACAGCCCTGATGAATCCCATCGTGGTCCTTGGCCTCTCCACCCGGCTTCACAGCTGGGAAGACTATCTGTCCGCCTCCCAGGGTCCTGTAGATAAAGTATGAGAGGGAGTGAAAGGGGTAGGGAAGATGAGGGAAGGGGGAGGGGAGGGCTGGGCAGACTGCATAGGTGGCAAGAGGCTTGTGATGGAGCCTTATCTTGGGTTCTGCGTGGACTCGAACTGTTCAGCTCTGTGCTGCATCCAGCCGGCTAGTCTGAGGAGTCTCTCTTAGCTGGAACCATGGACCTCAAAGGGAGGAGCCTGATCTAAGACTGCTGTCAAAGCTGTGGTGAGCGGTTTCCTGGGGGCCCTGCCCTGGCTCAGGAAGCAGGGATGGGCTGTGGAGGGTGAGGCCCAGGGAAGTGGCCAGACCACACCCCCTGAGGGCCCTGTGGCACACGCAGGACGGCGGGCGGGCCCTGTGGTGAAGGGATTTGCTGGGCCTGCCAGTTGGTGCCTAGAGACTGCATTCGGCTAGTTATAATCTGGCCTCGGAGGAAGTTGCAAAGATGGCTCTGAATATGCCCAGGCGTTTTTGTGCTTTGGGGTGGCCTTAAGTTGGAGGAGAAGGAAAACTGGGCAGGGCCTATTACCCTGGGATCTGAAGGAGGTGCCTCTGGGGATGCTTGCAGCCACTCTGGGAGTCGGCTGCCTGGGATGAAGGCTGATCTTGTTAACTGGGTCTCTGCTCCGTGCCCCGCATTTGGACTAGAAGCTCTCTGAAGGCAGGACTGATCTTTGTTCCTGTATAACACACAGAACTGTATAAAATGTAATCAACATTTTATCAACAGGGTGTGTTGATAAATCAACAACAACAGGGTGTGATGAGCTTGTGCTGAGGCCCCATCCTGAGAGTAATCTGGGCTTGGTGGTCTCATTTGCTCCTGTTTTTCCATAGGATTTGGGGGAAGAAGGCAGTGGTGGGGGTCAGGCCCCACCTGGGTGGGCTGTTGCCATCTGGGAACACAGGCAAAGGGAGAGCCAGGCTTGTTATAGTTCTCTTGCTGGCCTTTGGGGAGGGAGCCCTGGTTTACGCTCGGGGAATGGAGTTTTAAGGACTCTTATATACTCTGTTTCCTGCTGAGCAGATTGTGGGGTTGGACACAGGTCCTGACGAAGGTTCCAATGGGCACAATGGTGGCCGTCCAGGCAGCTTTTTGGAAACACAGTTGGAGAGTCCTTGAAGTTGCTGATTATTGCAGGGATCGGGTTAAGAATAGAGGGAGGGAGGCTAGAGGAATAAAGTCTAGTTCTTAGTGTGTAACAGGATCTCAAGAGGAGAGATGGATCTGCAGCTATTGGAAGCTCTCAAAAATTCATATCCTTTGCTCCGCAAGCTGTAAGACTGTGTGTGTGTGTGTGTGTGTGTGT